GATGGTCTCGATCTCCTGACCTCGTGATCCACCCGCCTCGGCCTCCCAAAGTGCTGGGATTACAGGCTTGAGCCACTGCGCCCGGCCCATTGTGTTAAATTGAGATAATTCTGGCATGCTGTCATCTTTGGGGGAATCATAATTGCTCTGGTCATTTTAGGCAGCTTCAAGGGAGTTGAGTTCATTCAGCTTCAGTTACTTGAACTGAATTCAGTTACCTGAATCGATGCTTTCATGAAATGGAATCTTTTCCAAGTCAAAGCTTGGATTGAAATTTCACTGACTGGTTTTTATGAGATCACTTAGGGTCTCAAATACTTTATGTAGCAGTGCATTGATCATATTTTACTCTTATGTGTGACTTATGGGCAACTTTTAGCACCCTTGTCCCTCTGGAGTTTTGGAATGCTATTTGTGAGGTTCATAACTTCATAAATATTTATTGAACATCTACTACCTGCCAGGTAGTAGTCTAGATGGTAGAGTATACAATAAGGAACAAGCTATATAAGGTCCTTTCTCTCTTGGAGCTTACTTTCTTTGGGATATTAGACATTGAATTAGGCTAGTTCAGATAAGATAGTACTTGTGAAAGATCTATAACAAGTTCTTTTGGATGTGTCTAGTGTCCTTCCCTACTGCATGTCCAGATCTTTCTCATCTTCATTTGAAGGCTGGCTCAAATGGCAGCTTCTCCATCATATCCTTATCTGATCCTTCCAGCTGATATATTCCTCCCGTCTTTGAAATCTCATGCCTCTCTATCAGCAACTTTCTTATGTCACCTTAACATTTTTTTTCTATTTGTTTCCTAGCTGTTAGTGCATATGTTAAGTCTCCCCATTAGACTATAAATTATTGAGGGCAGACTGGGCACAGTGGCTCACGCCTGCAATTCGAGCACTTTGGGAGGCCAGGGCAGGTGGATTACTTGAGGTCAAGAGTTCGAGACCAGCCTAGCCAACATAGTGAAACCCTGTCACTACTAAAACTGCAAAAAATTAGCCGGGCATGGTGGTGTGCACCTATAACCCCAGCTACTTGGGAGACTGAGGCAGGAGAATCCCTTGAACCCGGGGGGGCAGAGCTTGCAGTGAGCTGAGATCCTGCCACTGCACTCCAGCCTGGGTGACAGAACGAGACTTTGTCTGAAAAAAAAAATTATTGAGGGAAGAGTAAATATCCTGTTCATCTTGGTTTGGGATATTTCACATTCAGGCAGAGGATGTTGTGGGAAAAAACACACTGAACTTAGAGCCAGAAGATGAATTGAGTACTGGCTTCTCTATTCACTGGCTGTGTGACTAGGCAAGTCATTTAACTTCACTGAAACTAAGTTTTCTATCACTAAGCATGTAGTAATCATCCTTCTGTTCCTGAATAGTTGTCAGGAGGCTCAAACTGAGATAATATATATGACTATCCTTTGCAAATTCTAACTTTCCACACACAGTATCATAGTAAATATTGAGTAAGTATTTGAATGAGTAAGCATTTACTTCAGTGAACACCTTTTCCTGAGCAGTTCTCTTGCTTACTGAGGTCTTTTGATTTTGTAAATATACTAGACTACTTTTTTATCTGATTTTTTGTATTGTTCCATTTTGCAGATGACATCTTAATTTTATTAAACTATTCTGTTCCTGAGAATTGGCATCCTCTTCATCCACCTGGGGGTGACCAGTAATTTTCTGTTTTTCTCTCTGTAGGTGCTATTTAATATTTAAATAACAAATGACATTTGATCTGTTTCAGCAGGTGGTCCATTATGGCTGACATGCAAAATCTGGTAGAAAGATTGGAGAGGGCAGTGGGCCGCCTGGAGGCAGTGTCCCATACCTCTGACATGCACCGTGGGTATGGAGACAGTCCTTCAAAAGGTAAGCAGTCCACAGCCCAGCAGAATGCTTTCTTTGAGTGTCTTGGCCTGAAAATTTTCTGTTATTCTCTCCTTTGGAGCTAACTTCCCAAAACTTAATCTAGATAGTTTATCTTTTGTAATTTGTATTGCTGTAAACAGATAAGAGAGGAAAGGAAATGACTTGTACAGGGAGGCCTGTGGTTAAGTTATTTTAACACAAGAACTTCCTGCTTGTGTGATATTTCCTGTTCTTTCTTTAGCAGAATGACTCCAATATAAGTCAAATGACAAGTGATAATAAAATTCCTGTCTCCAAACAATTGGCAAATTGGACATTTTGCACATGCAGCAATTGAAACATAGAATGTTAGCACTAAAAGAAACCTTGGAGGATCATTTTGTTTATTTTCATTTTATAGATAAAGAAAATTAAGCTCAGAGAGGAAAAGGGATTTAGTCAAGGTCACACACCAGTTAGTGGTGATACTGAACCTAGAACCCAGGTTTCCTTACTCCTGTTCCAGTATCCTGTTGACTGTATTACCTTGCCTCCTCACTTCCATATAGAAGCACATTTTAAAGAAGCCTCCTTCTGATGCATGGCTGATTCTTCGTGGTGTGTTTGTCTTTAGCAGGAGCAGCTCCATATGTGCAGGCATTTGACTCACTGCTTGCTGGTCCTATGGCAGAGTACTTGAAGATCAGTAAAGAGATTGGGGGAGACGTGCAGAAACATGTAAGGATGTTTTGCCTTTTTCCCCTTCTTTTAAGGACTGACAGCTTTCTTCAGTCAGCCAAGGTCCTCATCCTTGGTTTAAGAGCTCCTTGAGAAGTGCCTCTTGGTTTGAGGCATTACACATGTTATTTTTCTTTTACCTGTACTGAGGAGTTCAGTCCAGCCACAGAAACGATTCCTCCTATTTTTCTAGGCCCCTTGCTTTTATCACATATTTGTACAGAAAGCTTGCTTGGTACATAAAATATGGTTCTGTTCATCTTTGTAGCGAAGAACATGCACTCGTTTGATCCCAACATATTATATAATCAAACTTACAGTGGCTTATTTAAAGGAGTCATTATCATGACTTAGCATTTATAAAACTATGCTTGATAGTTATTAGTTATGCTAATGTGGGTTATTTTCACACTTAACCCACAGCAAGAATATGAAGTAGGCAGTGACAGGTGCCTTTCCTCCCACCTTCCTTTATGCCTCCTACGTCATCACCACCACTGCCTACTCCCACCCCACACTCACATATACATTCTACCTCTATTTTTGGGACCCAAAAAACCTTCCTGCTAGCTCACCGAATGATCCTTTATAAACAGTAACGATGCTCGGGATCTTCTTCACCTAAACCTTTCTCCAAGACTGGTTGCTTGGGTTTTGGAAAATCTATTTTGAGCCTCTCAAATACCATCTGTTGCCAATGGTTTTGGCTCTAGAGAGTGGGACTGGGACTTTAATAAGGGTGTGGAGGCTTGCATTTTTACTTTATACAGTTCTGTAACATTTGAAAAAACTTTAAAACATTTATCATTTGTGTTTTAAAAATGCAAATCCAGAAAAAAATAGATTGCTTTCTTTGAATTTTTGTATTTTAATAGTGCTTATAGTCTCATGTTTCTTAAATTCTTTTGACTACGAATGACCCTCAGAAATAAAGAACATATTCGTAACTGAGATAAAAGTTTCACAAAATGATATTTGTACTACTTCTGCTATACTTTTTTTTTTTAACTTTTTATTTGGAAATAACTTGAAGTTGGTGTGCTGCACTCATACTTTTGCTGTATTAAGCTCACTAAATTTATTTATTTATTTATTAATGGGTCATGGTATCTAGCATTTGAGAGATAGCTTTAACCTAAAGGAGTAAATACCTTGAGAATTTTTGGCATAAATTTAGGCCTTTGCCTTTACTCCTGTCTCCAATTTTTGAGAAAAGAAAGGTGTTTTTTTGGTTGCCGTTTGTTTTATTTTGCTGATGTGAAATAGGAAGGATTTTTCAGTGCACAGTATCACAATGCATGTGTAAGGTGCTAACATGACTTCATTTAAGGCTAGGTGATTATCCATTTAACTTCACTTCCAACTCTGGATGTGTGTCCCTGATGAGTTCCAGTAGGAACAGTAGTATATGTAATTCTGCTATCAGTCCCTGGAATCCGGAATACATGAGGAGGATAACATGAAGTGCCTGGGTTGCTATCAGAGTACATGGAAGTAGAGGTTTCAGGTTATTCTTATCAAGACTTCTCCAGTTATAATGTGTCATCAATAGCTGATTCTTCTTTCTGGCAGGCGGAGATGGTCCACACAGGTTTGAAGTTGGAGCGAGCTCTGTTGGTTACAGCTTCTCAGTGTCAACAGCCAGCAGATGTAAGTTCACTACTAGCTGGTTTCATTTTGGTTTGATGCTCAGGACGAGTTGAGAGATTTCTGTCAAGCTATTATAACATTTTAAAATAGACCTACTAGGCTTTTGATAATATATATTCATACCAAGTCCCAGAGGTAGAGCCATACTTCAAGTGCCTTAATGGGAAGGTACTATTGAGTACTTAATGGTCTCTACTGACTTTTTCTCTGTCATTTTGCATAGGCCCGTGGTTATTCCTGGGACTTTGCTTGCCTCCCTCTTTGCTGAGTCCACATTCATCATAGTGTCTCCAAAGCCCTTTAAAGATGATTCTTTTGCTTCACTGTGGATGGGCTTTAGTAGTGCTCCTGTGGAGATCTTAAAACTCCTGTAGTATTGCTTCTCTCTTCATCCTTCACTGGTTGGGAGAATCTCCCTTTAATTTTACTCCCACCTCAGAATTTTATGGTGCAAGATGTGAAAAGCTGAATTAGAGAAAATTTAGATTTCTCTTGGAGTCAAAGAAAATAGGTTTCCTTCTTTTGCATTTGGCTTTCCTACAGAGGAATAATAAAGCAAGTTGTCCTAAATGCTGTATTAAAACCCTTGACTCTCAGCATGCCTAGATAATATAAAAATAATGTCATGTATATTAGATTCTGGTTAAGCATACTGGCTTACTTCTGTAATCCCAGCACTTTAGCAAGACCTTGTCTCTACTAAAAATTAAAAAAAAAAAAAAAAAAAAGTAGCCAGGCAAGGTGGTACATGCCTATAGTCCCACCTACTTGAGAGGCTGAAATGGGAGGAACATTTGGGACTGAAAGTTTGAGGTTGCAGTGAGCCCTGAACACACCATTGCACTCCAGCCTGGGCGACAGAGCAGGACCTTCTCTCAAAAAACAATGTGTGTGTATGTATATATAGATACCATCTAATTCTAATATGTAGAATTAGATTCTAATTCTTAATCTGTCCTGAATGGTTAAGATCTGAGAATTGAGATGTTCAGGAAATGGAGCTTTGGAGGAAGGGTGCAAACAAACAAAATTCATCCATTTTGCCAAGGTGCCTACTTGAATGCTAAGCCCCTAATTGTTTTTTATTTTATTTTATTTTTTTAAAATCTGTTTTTTGAGACAGGGTGTTGTTTTGTCACCCAGACTGGAGTGCAGTAGTGCAATCACAGCTCACTGAAGCCTTGACCTCCCAGGCGTAAATGATCCTCCCACCTCAGCCTCCTGAGTAGCCTTGACTACAGTGTGTGCCACCATGCCTGGCTTGCTTATTTATTTATTTATTTATTTATTTATTTTTGAGATGAAGTCTTACTCTGTTGCCCAGGCTGGAGTGCAGTGGCAGGATCTCAGCTCACTGAAACCTCCACCTCCCAGGCTCAAATGATTCTCCCACCTTAGCCTCCTGAATAGCTGGGACTACAGGCATGTGCCACCATGCCCAGCTGATTTTTGTATTTTTATAGAGATGGGGTTTCGCCATGTTGCCCAGGCTGATCTTGAACTCCTGGACTCAAGCGATCTGTCTACCTTGGCCTCCCAAAGTGCTGGGATTACAGGCTTGAGTCACCATGCCTGGCCCCAATTCTTTCTATTATTTGTAGAGACAAAGTCATGCTGTGTTGTCCAGTTTGGTCTCGAACTCCTCGTCTCAAGCATCTCTCCTGCCTTAGCCTCCCAAAGTGCTGAGATGACAGGCGTGAGCCACCATGCCCAGACTAAGCCCCCTAATTGCATTTGATTCATCAGTTCTTTACTCAGCAGCTACTACATGACTAGCAATGCATTGAGGGCTTTAATGATGATAAAAGAGCTCATCTTTGAAGAATTAATGAGAAAGTAAAACATATTCACATGGGTCCATTAATAGTTTGTATTGGTGAGTGATAAAATGCCAAAATCGGTTATTCTGACAACAAATGCTGTAGGAGGCTGGTGTGGCTGGGTTGGAGGGCCCTCATGAAGCATGAGGAAAATGTGGATTCATGGAAAAAGAAGAGAACATCATGAGTAAGGCACAGGAATGATGTCCTGAGTGTATGTCCTCTAAGTGGAACAGAAAAGAGACAAGTGGCTGAAATGGAGGTATTGTGATATAGCTGAAGTATGGATCCTGATCATGAAGAACCATCAGGTACAGCCTGAGGAGTTGGAACTCTATGAGGAGAGTGAGATGATGAGCAGTATTTTAGCCTTAGGAATCAGGACAGGACTAATGCAGTTTACTTGGGTACTCACTAGAGTCCATAGAGAATTCTTACCTTCAGGATCAGAAGGCATAGACACCTTTGTGGAAAGATGTTAACCTGAATCTTTTCTTGTATCTTTTCCTAGAATAAGCTTTCCGATTTGTTGGCACCCATCTCAGAGCAGATCAAGGAAGTGATAACCTTTCGGGAGAAGAACCGAGGCAGCAAGTTGTTTAATCACCTGTCAGCTGTCAGCGAAAGTATCCAGGCCCTGGGCTGGGTGGCTATGGTGAGCAGTGCAGATTCCAGGGCTGGGGGTGTGGGTATAGATTCTAAGAGGCAAGGCAATATAGTTGGAGAGGTCCTGAGTCACTGACAGCTTGTTTCTCTCTAGGCTCCCAAGCCTGGCCCTTATGTGAAAGAAATGAATGATGCTGCCATGTTTTATACAAACCGAGTCCTCAAAGAGTACAAAGATGTGTAAGTTCAGCCTTTTCTTTTCTTTCTTTCTTTTTTTCTTTTCTGAGACAGTGTCTCGTGTTGTCACCCAGGCTTAAGTACAGTGGCACAATCACAGCTCACTGCAGCCTCAACCTCCCAGCTCAAACAGTCCTCCCACCTCAGTCCCCCAAGTAGCTGGGACTTCAGGCATGCTGCACCATGCCTGGCTAATTTTTAAATTTTTTCGTAGAGATGAGATCTCACTGTTTCCCAGGCAGGTCTCTAATGATTCTCCTGCCTTGGCCTCCCAAAATGCTGGGGTTACAGATATGAGCCACTGTGCCCAGCCAAGTTCAGCCTTTTTTCAAGGGGTAAAGGATAAACCCATTTGGTTACTTGCTGGAGTAGCACTTTGGAGTTACTGAAGGCTGCCCTTAGCCACTGTGCTGGTTTTATCTCAGGGCTGCTTTCTGGAGAGCTTTATAGATATTGTCTCACAGCTGCATTTGCAAACAGGAAATGTTTCTGCTTCCACTTCTGCTTTCTCTCCTTTGTTGGTAGAGGCCCTTTTAGCCTTCTCGGTTTAGGAAGTTTTGCTGACAGTAACATGGACTAATGCCCTTTATATAAGATTTTGTTTCTTTGTTGAGAATTAGTTATCTGGCCCAATGGCAAAGGGTTCAATAGGACTTAATAGAAATTCTTCATGCAGTCAGTTAAAGTGAGAGTAAGGCTGCCTAGCCAAATGCAGGTATTATGTAAGGCAGTCCTTGTATGTCTAACCACATACGTCTACCAGTTCTGACTTCTCCATTGCTGGTTTTGAACTGGAATGATTGCAGGCAAAATTTATTAAGTTGCATGTCTATGCAAACCCTTCCTTTCTTCCATCCTTCATCAATCAACAAACATTTATTAACTACTCTTTTTAAGGAATACTGCACCTTCCTGTGAGTGAAATGTGTCCCAGAACAACAGGCACTTCTTTATCCTTCTAGCAACATGGAATTAAGCATGACAGTGTTTGATATATCCCACCATTATCCCATCACTTTACAGTTGAGGAAACTAAGTCTCAGGCTAAATAACCTTCCCAGCTAATATACAAGAAGAGAGGGGACTTGGACCATAGGTACAATGCTATTTCTATAATTTAATGCTGATTGTTTCCTCCTAAAGGAAAGTTTAAGTTTGCTTTTGGTGGGGGTGGGCATATTTTGACATGAGGCATTGTCTCGTAAGGCAGTTAAGTTTCTTAGAGTTCCACAGTGATACTTAAGAGCTCTCCTCTCTACCATGGTTTTATGTACAGAATGTCTGCTTGTCTTCTTTTATCAGTTTTACATATTAGATTGTGTTTAGGTTCTACTTTGGAAAAAGTTTCAATAAGCAAATGGTCAAAAGAAAAAAAGTTTTGGTACTTAAAACAGTTTGAGAAACATTGCTATGAGAGATAGAGATAGAATCCAGAGTCTCTATCTTAGGGGAGTTTGGTCTGATTAGGGTAATAGACTAGGTTGTGTATACATAGAAGTTTGGTGATGACAGAAAAGCTGCCATTGAGCAGAGAGCCTAAGAAACACCACAGGTAGGAGAATGTGAGCCCATAGGAAAGAAGGGTTCTGGAATCACCATTGTTATGTACCTGGACCACCTGTGACAAGTTCTTCTTTAATCCTCCCAGGGATAAGAAGCATGTAGACTGGGTCAAAGCTTATTTAAGTATATGGACAGAGCTGCAGGCTTACATTAAGGAGTTCCATACCACCGGACTGGCCTGGAGCAAAACGGTTAGTGAATCCTTCCTCCCTCCCTCCCTCCCTCCCTCCCACTTTCTCTCTCCAGCGTGGGGTCCACAGGTTTCTTAGACTTCAGCACTACCAACGTCTGTGAGGGAATGCTAGTTTTTTCAGTGGAAGGGAGGAAGAAAAGGGGGAGAAAGAAAGGGAAAAAAGAGTAAAGGAAGCAAGGATCATAGGAGAAGGAATACTTGGTGGTATTCAATTTCAATAAACATGTCAGGGACAGTGATTGGTGCTGGAGTGGGAGACACACACAAATGAGTTACACTGTCCCAGCCTTTAAGGCGCTTAAAAATAGGAACGCAAAACCCCAGTACAATAGTACAAATCACTAAGCCAAATGCTATAATAAAGATACAGACTCTAGAGTATGAGGAAAAGAAGAGTGCTTCTCACTAGAAGAGATTATGCTTTGAAGGTATATACTCTTCTGTGAGACTTGAAAGAAGTATAGGGCAGTGAGAAGTGGGATACTACAAAAGGCACAGCTTAAACAAAATAAATGCAGAGTAAATGTAGAGATTGGTCATCTCTGGCTTCAATAAGGGGAAATGGTCAGATTTTTAGGAGAAAAGGCTGGAAAGGAAGGTAGGCTGAGACTTTGGGATGAGGTATTTGAGCAAGGGAGTGATAATGATCCAATTTGTCTTTAAAAGAGTCTCAGTGTATAGGTTAGGGATAAGGACTCATGCTCGGATTATGAAAGTAGTCATGGTGTTTGGGAGATAGTAGAAAAACATTTGCAGGAGATAGCACCAAGATAATAGAAAGAGATTTGATAAGGTTGAAGAAGTTGGAATCCTCAAAGAAGATTGAATAGTCAGCCTTGGATGGTAACATCTTTCACTGAAACAGGGACAAGGGGATGATTATACAGGGAGGGGAGCAGGCAGGAAATGATGAAATCAGTTTTGAACTTGTTGAATCTGAGGTACTGGTAACACACTAAGGAAGATGTCAAACAGATTTGTGGAAAGAGTTTTTTAAAGCTGGAATCAGGTGAGGTCAAAGGCAAAATGTGATGGTCAAGAAATAGAACTGAGAGCTGGATCTTCGGGAAAGGGTGAGAAGGCATAAAGCCAAGTTGGGTATGGGTAGGACGCATTAATCATTGCCTGAAAGGCTGTAGTGGGGACCCCATGTGCACTGGCCACATGTAGGGTGCTACTGGGAATGGTACAGTGGGGAAGAGAGAGGATGACGATGTTACCTTCTCTTATTGTTTCAGGGGCCTGTGGCAAAAGAACTGAGTGGACTGCCATCTGGACCCTCTGCTGGATCAGGTCCTCCTCCCCCTCCGCCAGGCCCCCCTCCTCCCCCAGTCTCTACCAGTTCAGGCTCAGATGAGTCTGCTTCCCGCTCAGCACTGTTTGCGCAAATTAATCAGGGGGAGAGCATCACACATGGTGAGTGAACACTTTGACACAGTCGGTACAAGTTGTGTGGGCCAGACCCCACCAACCAGAACCCAACAACTAGTCTGTAAACCACAACCCCGACTTGTGTGGGAGTCATTTAGTGTGTCCTGTTCCTTTAAGGGACAGCAAAGCTGGCTTAAATGGAAATTGAAAATGATGATCACAGTTGGAAGAAGCCCTCTGCCCCATGGGAAAGTGACTTAATATTAGGTAGCATATATAGAGTACCCTCTTGTGCCAAGGCACAGAGCTGGCGGTTTTCCCCAGAGCTTTTTCCGTAGCACCACATGGCCTCTGGGAAGGCACTGTGTTAGGAGTTAACTTCCTTAGAAGATGCATACTGGTTACATGGAAAATTTGCATGAGAGTGACCTAATGTTGGTATAGAGAAAGTAGATACCCTTAACACAGCTGGTGGAAGTCTGAGTTGTCCAGCCACTTCTAGGAATCATAGTAGCTAAAAATGGTGTAACAACCTAAATCCAACAGTAAGAGAAATGGTTAACTACCACATGTCCTGTTGATGAAATGTATGCCATCATTACATGTTTTTCTACAGTGAACCACGTAATGTTTAAGAAAAAATATCTAGTATGTAAGTTACAACCACGAGGAATAGTGGAGATAAAGGCCATTCAGTATTTGTTATACAGTTAACATAGATCAGGCCATGTTCAAAGCAAGGCGTGTGTCAGCCTGCTGTGGGAGATCATGAATTATTTTTCCCTTAAAACATAAAAGAAATATATTTTTACTTTTATTTTTATTTTATTTTATTTTTTTGAGACGGAGTCTCACTTTTTTGCCCAGGCTGGAGTGCAGTGATGTGATCTCGGCTCACTGCAACCTCTGCCTCTCAGGTTCAAGCAGTTCTTCTGCCTCAGCCTCCTAAGTAGCTGGGACTACAGGCACCTGCCACCATATCCAACTAATTTTTTTGTACTTTTAGTAGAGACTAAAAATACACCATGTTAGCCAGCCTGGTCTCCAACTCCTAACTTCAGGTGATCCACCCGCCTTGGCCTCCCAGCGAGCTGGGATTACAGGCATGAGCCACAGCGCCTGGCCTAGAAAGATACTAAACTACAGGTTAACATGAGAAAGTTTTTAAGTGTCAATAGTTGAACTAAATGTATTAACAATGTGTATGATCATAACCAACAAAACCATATATATATATAGAGAGAGAGAGAAAACTATTGTAGAGTCGCAAATGCCAACACTGACTGAAGAGGTAGGGGAAGTAGGGTTAGTTAGCTGTGGGGAGTGAGGGTTTTTTGTTTTGTTTTGTTTTTTCCTTTTACCAAATTTTCTTTACTGCCACTTATTTTTCTTCCTTTATTGCTTTAAAAACTACATATTTGTGCATATATATTTGAGTATGTCTTTCTAGGTCTTTTTCTGTGCATTTACTCCCTATTGCCAACCACAGTATATACACATTCCATGTTGTTATTGTTAATGGAACCATATAATTTAACCTTGGGGAGAAGAGAAATGATAAAAGTACTTCTTCAAAACTGCTTGCAAGAGAACACCTCAAAGGCTCTGGTTTTTGGCTTTGAATTTTCTGTTAAGGATGTTTAACGTGATGATAGCAGCTCAGAGGTCTGGTATGAAGGACAGGAACAAGGTAGCTGTTGTTCTTACAGCCCTGAAGCATGTATCTGATGACATGAAGACTCACAAGAACCCTGCCCTGAAGGCTCAGAGTGGTCCAGTACGCAGTGGCCCCAAGCCATTCTCTGCACCTAAACCCCAAACCAGCCCGTCCCCCAAACCAGCCACAAAGAAGGAGCCAGCTGTACTTGAACTGGAGGGCAAGAAATGGAGAGTGGTAAGTTAAAAATACCTAGACAGGGGCAGGTATTTTTATTATATTTTTTTGAGATGGAGTCTCACTTTGTCGCCCAGGCTGGAGTGCAGTGGCGCGATTTTGGCTCACTGCAACCTCCGCCTCCCGGGGAAAAGGAGTAGGGACGGGGTTAAATGGAGCTTAGCTAGATGAGGGCAGAGTTCTGGCTTCAATTGCAATAACAAAAAGTTTGGGATAGCCTGGGTTTTTTTTGTTTGGTGTGTGCTTTATGATGAGAAAACTGGGCTCTCTCTCTAATAGGAAAATCAGGAAAATGTTTCCAACCTGGTGATTGATGACACAGAGCTGAAACAGGTGGCTTACATATACAAGTGTGTCAACACGACATTGCAAATCAAGGGCAAAATTAACTCCATTACAGTAGGTGAGTCTTCGTCGCTGTCCCATGCAAGCCCCGTCCCAGAGCCCGAGAAGGCTAATATCATTTTACCTACCCTATCTTAAAGATTCCTAAATGTATATTACTTTCCTTTAAAGTTATACTGTTGACAAACTCCCTTTCTTCTCCTAGATAACTGTAAGAAACTTGGTCTGGTATTCGATGACGTGGTGGGCATTGTGGAGATAATCAACAGTAGGGATGTCAAAGTTCAGGTAACTCGATATTTTGGCTCCTTCTTTTTGTCCCTGAGGAATTAATTGAAAGAGGCATGGTAGACCCACAGATGTTGCTTTCGTGGGAATCTGATTCTACAAAGTCTGTAAGCTGAGATGCTTTGGACGTGGCAGAAGAGGGGTTGGCTCTTCAGGCGAGTTCTTTTCAGGACCCATCCCAACCCACCCAAGTATCCAGTGTCTTGCGCACCTGTGAGCTTTTCATGTAGTTGCTGAGTCACGTGAAACAGGAAAGCTTTTCCTGCAACTTACTCTTGTCCTCCCCAACTGCTGGGACTCAGTTCTCTTGGTTAACTCTGCAGGTAATGGGTAAAGTGCCAACCATATCCATCAACAAAACAGATGGCTGCCATGCTTACCTGAGCAAGAATTCCCTGGATTGTGAAATAGTCAGTGCCAAATCTTCCGAGATGAATGTCCTCATTCCTACAGAAGGCGGTGACTTTGTAAGTTTCTTGATCTCTTTAGTATGATGTTAAAAACAGAAGGGACTGAAGATTTCTTGCATTGGAGAAAGCTGTTTCATGAACATTCTGCACTGAGCAGCTAAAAACCCAATAATGCACACCAAAAACACACAGAAATGAGGTAGTCCAGTGTAGTGGAGCTCCAAAGGAAGGTGCTTTCTGCCTAAATGGAGCTCAAGGTAGCAAAAAAGAATGGGGATGAGCCATGGCACCTTGTCAAGCTGGTGCTATAAAGCCATATGTACTGTTATTTACACCCCATAGACTATTGTCTGTCCAAGATCGCTGAACACTAGAACCCAGCATGGCTCTATGATTTGTCCCTTGCTACATCCTCCCGTGCTCCTGGGGTTAAGTGGAAGCAAGCATTGGGAGAAATGTGTGAGATTTAGCCCCAGCTCTTCTTTAGCTCAGATTTAAACCTGCTGTCTCTTCTTTATTTGCAGAATGAATTCCCAGTTCCTGAGCAGTTCAAGACCCTCTGGAATGGGCAGAAGTTGGTCACCACAGTGACAGAAATTGCTGGATAAGCGAAGTGCCACTGGGTTCTTTGCCCTCCCTTCACACCATGGGATAAATCTGTATCAAGACGGTTCTTTTCTAGATTTCCTCTACCTTTCTGCTCTTAAAACTGCTTCTCTGCTCTGAGAAGCACAGCTACCTGCCTTCACTGAAATATACCTCAGGCTGAAATTTGGGGTGGGATAGCAGGTCAGTTGATCTTCTGCAGGAAGGTGCAGCTTTTCCATATCAGCTCAACCACGCCGCCAGTCCATTCTTAAGGAACTGCCGACTAGGACTGATGATGCATTTTAGCTTTGAGCTTTTGGGGGTTATTCTACCAACAAACAAACAGTCCATTGGAAAGAAAACAGTCCCAGGAATTAACAGATCAGAATGTTCACACTGGTTAATCTTTTTCTAACAGTGAGCATGAAGGTAGCAGAAGCTGGTGTGTTTCCAGATGGTTCTTCTAACCAAACTAATTTTCACTGTTGACAAGTGAGGCAAGGGTTGCACTGGACCGAAGGCTGAGGCTTGGCCATCTAGCATTCCATGCAGAATGGTTTCCCATAAGCATTCCTTTTATTCTCTGTTCTATCCTGGGTCTGCCTCAACCATGAGATAGGAGAGTCTCCGGTACTAGCTGCTATCCAGGGCAGTTAATGGAGTCTTGAACCCTTTCTTTCTCTGGGATCCCTGACTAGCACCTTCCTATAGTGATGACTTTAAAAGGAAAAAAAAAAAAGGAAAAACAACACACCATTTCAAGGAGTCTGGCATTCCTGAATCCTCCTTCCCTGCTAGGTGCCTGTCACCTGTCTTCACTGCCTGCTTTTCCCTGTCATGCTCATCAGCTTATGGCTTCTGTCCAAGCACCTGAACAGAGGACTAAAACCTCCACTGCAGGCTGGTTTTAGGTCTTGATTTATGTAAGAATCTTGCACAGCACTGCTAATGTAAATTTCAGTTTTTCCCCTCTAGGACAAACACTTACCAAAATATGCAACTTTTTTTTGGTGGGAAGAGAGATTGTCCTGTGATTTCTACCCATTTCCTGAGGCCTGTGGAAATAAACCTTTATGTACTTAAAGTTATACAGAAAATAGAATAAAGTTAATACCAAACTTGCTTAGTTGTTTACCTGTGATACTTGCTGTACAGGAATGTAAAAAATACTGAAAACACCAAGCATAAGAAACTACTCTTTATTTTAGACAACCTCATAAAATTATTTTCACATCCCCCCCACTTCTTGCTCTTAATCCTCATCTTTTAGTTGAAGAATAAGGCTTGAGAGAGAGAAAGGAAAAACCATAATGGGTAAACTTAGCAGCACCAACACGGTTCTTTCATCAAGGTGTAGCTCATCATTTCTCCAAACTGACATTCTACAGAAATGTCTTCCAAAAAGCGTTAAGTTTTCACAGAGTGGGGACTATGATTTCCATGCTCAAGTAGTGTAGGAAATGGGAGATTGTTAGTTTTGTTTACTGTAACACGAATTCTCAGAGTCCTCAGACCCTCTAATGTGGGTGATCTCCAGAAGGAGAAAGGGAGTGTGTAGTATTTTCCAAGCTTTTTGAGCAAACAATCCTTTTCTCACAGAACTCATCAGAAACAGTTTGGAGTATGCTGGTAAATATGTTTTGGGGATTGAAGTCAGAAAGGCTGATCTTTTCATATGGTTCCTCCTATTCTCTGCTAAAGCCAGCAACAGAGTAAGTTGACTCTAGCATCAAGACCACTAGTCATATTAAGAAAGGGCAGGTTGGTCAAGAATGGAATAGGAAGAACTAGCTGCCTCACTTTTCACTTTCGTGCCTACATTTTCTTTACTCCCTAAGTTATACAAGATGTACATTTCCTCTCTTAAGCAACTTAATTGGATGCTACTTCCCTCCTTTTGTGACAGAGCAACTAATTCATCACTACCTGAGGAGACAAAGTGGGTGCCACAGAAGCAAGACTAGGCCAGTGGGATTTGCCTAATAATAAGATGATAGCACAGAGGGTAACGTATTCAGAGAGGAAGGCAGCCTTAAGAAATGCAGAAATAGCCAAGCAAGATTTTTCCAAGCACTGGTTAAATCACCAGCAAAACAAAGCATTTATGTGAGTACCTCAGGCCTGGGTACCTCTGCTTGAAATCCGGCAAGATCTTGGAAAAACGTTTGCCCTCAGAATCTATCTCATTGCTTTAATTAGTTGTCTCCTTTGGGCCTGGGCACAGTTCTGGCACTGATCTGGAACAGACTCCCTTTCTAAAACTGAGCTTGTCCACATCAAAAGTTTATAAAACAATCGCCATGGTAATTAAACTTGCATTCAACACCATATGGTAACAGAAGATGGAAAAGGATAAGCTTCAGATCTTAGATCTTTCCAAGTAGGGCATGTTAGATAAGGATAGAAGGATTAGTTGCAAGCTGGATCTGAGCTCAGGCTTGGCATGAAGGAAACTGTCTCCCATGTGGTTTGGAAGAGTTAGGGGCTCCCTGAGCTCTATTGTGAACTGTATGGGTTTCATCCAAGGAATGGTATAATGTGGGCATAAAACCATTCTTCAGACAACTGAAGATGGTCCCCTTCTGTAGCCAGAAACACTAGCTGTCCTGCATTGTCCATTTCTTTTAGTCCCAGGCGGTCCTGCAGAGGGAAAGCCATAATTAATCAAAAAGCTTAATGAAGTTTTGGAGTAAAATGGTAAATATGTTAACTCGAGATATATTGTCAAAATAAAATTGAGGTATATTTTCAAAAATGCCAAAAAGAGTATCTCCTTTTTTTTTTTTTTTTTTTTTTTTTTTTTTTTTTTTTTTTTTTGAGATGGAGTCTTGCTCTGTCGCCCAGGCTGGAGTGCAGTGGCACAATCTTGGCTTACTGCAACCTCCACTTCCCGGGTTCAAGCGATTCTCCTGCCTCCGCCTCACGAGTAGCTGGAATTACAGGCGTGTGCCACCACGCCCAGGTAATTTCTTGTATTTTTAGTAGAGATGGGGTTTCACCGTGTTAGGATGGTCTCGATCTCCTGACCTCAGGTGATCAACCCGCCTCGGCCTCCAAAGTGCTGGGATTACAGGCGTAAGCCACCACACCCGGCCAGTTTTTTCTAAGTATTAAAAATGTATATGCAATTGAGATTGCACTATATAGAGTTCTAGATTCTGCTTTTTGAAAAGCTTCTCAGAGTCAGAGGACTACCTATAGGTGGGCAAGCCATGGACAACACTGCCTCAGCATGCCATAGGTAAGTGGGACTGAGCCAAAGACAGGAGAACATTAGCTAGGTAACTTAAAAACATCCAACCCAGGCCAGGCGTGGTGGCTCACGCCTGTAATACCAGCACTTTGGGTGGCCAAGGCAGGCGGATCACCTGCGGTCAGGAGTTCAAGACCAGCCTGACCAATATGATAAAACCTCATCTCTAATAAAAATACAAAAATTAGCTGGGCATGGTGGCGGGCACCTGTAATCCCAGCTACTTGGGAGGCTGAGACAGGAGAATTTGCTTGAACCCGGGAAGTGGAGGTTGCAGTGAGCTGAGATCACGCCATTGCACTACAGCCTGGGCAATAAGAGCAAAACTTCATCTCAAAAAACAAAACAAAAAAACCATATGCAAGCCTTAGGTAACAAACCCTGGACACTTCCATATTCTGGAGTTGAAAATGTCATTACCCATAGCCTAGGTGCTGGAGAACAACCCCTGGTTGGGAAGATAAGCAGTTACGACAGTGCCAGAATGGTGCTTCTGCCATGGCCACCATTATTTTGAGTTTCACAATAGGGAAGTTCTTAGCTGTAATTTCTCAAGCCTTTTTTTTTTTTAAATCAGACTCTAGCTTCCCTTTTTACCTCACCACTGAAGTTGAGGCACCCAATGCAAAAGAAAAGCCAAGAGGAGACAAATGACCTCTGAAATAACATGGAGGAATTCTAGTAGAAGGTGACTGGTTCAGGTGTAGTACTTATGCATTTTGGAGATGTAAAATCCAATATAAAATCCTTAGGGCTGGGCATGGTGGCTCACGCCTGTAATCCCAACACTCTTGGAGGCTGAGGCAGGTGGATCACCTGAGGTCAGGAGTTCAAGACCAGCCTGGCCAACATGGTGAAACCCTGTCTCTACTAAAAAAACAAAATATTAGGCATGGTGGCGTGTGCCTGTAATCCCAGCTACTAGTGAGGCTGAGGCAGGAGAATCGCTTGAACCCAGGAAGTAGAGGTTGCAGTCAGCTGAGACCACATCCAGCCTAGGTGACAAAGCAAGACTCTGTCTCAAAAAAGAAAAAATCCTTGAAGTGTAGAAGGCCCCAGAACTGGAGGTGGTAAATTACTGCAACTTCTGCTTAAGATACAGGACCTACTGCTAAACAAAATTCACAACGCTAGTCCCAATCAGTCTCCTGCAGGAGCTTCCCTTGCAGTGTGTAATTTAGAAACAGGATTTCACATCTGTTAATGTTTAAAAGTAATGTTCCTTGGCCAGGCACAGTGGCTCACACCTGTAATCCCAGCACTTTGGGAGGCCGAGATGGGTGGATCACCTGAGGTCAGGAGTTCGAGACCAGCCTGGCCAACATGGCGAAACCCCATCTCTCCTAAAAATACAAAAATTAGCCGGGCATGGTGGCACACACCTGTAATCCCAGCTACTAAGGGGGCTGAGGCAGGAGAACTGCTTGAATCCGGGAGGCAGAGGTTGCAGTGAGCAAAGATTGCTCCACTGCACTCCAGCCTGGGAGATAGAGTGAGACTCCATCTCAAAAAAAAAAAATGCCCCTCATCATGCCTGGAGGCTTCCTAGATTTGTAGCAGACGCACCTCAGCAAAGGCAGCTAGTTTTAAAACCTTTTTATCAAAAAAAGGGAATCAGACATGAGGTTTCTCTTGTTCTTGCTTGGAAACCATAAGGTTTCAGGATGTAGTGAATTTCTGTAACGCAGTGCCGGATAAGCTAGAGCAATAATCAAGAGCCTAACAAGCTTCACCCATATTGGACATAAGTCAGGTGTTTCAGGAGTACCTAGTGCTCTGAGGTGTACAGGGCAGGGCTCCAGCACCAAAGAATCTAGCAGCTTCAAGAACTGGGAGCTGAAAAAGACAGCACAACCTCCCAAGATAGATTCCCTGCCAGTTACCTGTGTGTACAGGGAGGTCTCCTGTAAGGGAATGGTTTCCTTGGCTTGGCCACTTCTGTAAAATCCAAACCACTGCAGAAGAAGCAAAAGAAATAAGGTCAGATGTGACACACAGCACATACTGCCAAACTAATTTGAGACTGGTTAGAAGCCAAAACTGCCAACAAAGTGAACATCATAAAGCTGTAGCAAGAAGGAAAAATGGATAGGGTGCGTCTGAGTCATCTCTTCTTAAGGGTGGAGCCCAAGGGATGAGTTAATCTTTCTGAGGGGCTGCTTTCCACTTCCCCAGAATTTCTGCTTCCTACATTTATTAAGCAATAAATGTGAAAAATTCCTGGGCTGAGCTCTAGACATTCAAGGATGAATCTATCATCTGTTTCCAAAAACCTCCCAGTCTTGCAAGGCACAGAAACAATTCACTGTTGAGCACAGAGGTCAGCAAATGTTTTTGTAAAGGCCAGATACAAAATATTTTAGGCTTTAAGGGCCATATGGTTGCAACTACTCACTGCTGCCACTGTAACAAAAGCAGCCACAGACAGTATGTGAAAAGTAAAACTGTTCCAATGAGGACACTGAATTTAAATTTTACATAATCTTTATATGTCAAAATACTTTCTATGTCTAAGTAAATTTTACATAATCTTTATATGTCAAATTCTTCCCCCCAAATATTAAAAAATGTAAAAACCATTCTTCACGTGTGGGGAACACCAAAACAGGTAGCAGGATGGACTGGGCCTGTGGGCCACAATCAGCCAATCCCTGGTGGTGTGACATAACGTGAGGAGTGTCCTAACACAGGCTGATGATCTACAAAAGGGATCACATTCTGCTTGGAAGGGGGATGGCATCCTGGCCTTGACAGACGAATAGGAACTGTCAGGTGGAGAAGCCAAGGAAGTACATTCTAGAGACAGAAAAACATGAACAAAGTTTGTATACGAGAGAAAAAGCACAAGTAGTACAATATGGCTTGATCAAGAGTGTATGAAGCGTGCAGACAAGGAAGATCAGGCTGGAAAACAGGGTGAAGGCAGATCAAGGCAGACCTTGGAGGCCAAGCTTAGGAACTGATATATTTTGGGCTGCTGATTCTGAACCCTTTTTGGGTCTCTGGTCTCTGGAAAATGGATTAAAATTATAGACCCTTCCCCAGAGAATGCAATTACATAATTTTGCATAGAATTTTGGGGTTGGGGGGTAGATTACAATCTTCAGTATCCCGTTTATGGACCTCAGGTGAAGAACTGTTCTATACAAAAGTTGGTGGAAGGGACTGCAGGTTTTTTCCCCCAGCAGGCAGCTGTATTTTTTCATTTCATTTCACTTCAATTTCATTTTATTTTCTTTTTGAGACAGAGTCTTACTCTGTCAACCAGGCTGGACTGCAGTGGCACGATCTTGGCTCACTGCAAGCTCTGCCTCCTGGGTTCAAGCGATTCCCCTGCCTCAGCTTCCTAAGCAGCGGGGATTACAGGTGGCTGCCACCACGCCTGGTTAATTTCTTTTTGTATTTTGAGTAGCGATGGGGTTTCACCAAGTTGGCCAGATTGGTCTTGAACTCCTGATCTCAGGTGATCTGCCTGCCTTGGCCTCCCAGAGTGCTGGGATTACAGGCATGAGCCACTATGCCCGGCTGGCAGCCCTATTTTAATGCCATTTACTCTCCTGGCATGTGGCCTAAGTAGTGTCTCACCTCTGAATCTACAGGGTCCACAATGGAATCATTGAGGAATTTCACCATCACAAACTTCTTCAGGGCCATCAGGTTTTTCTTGTAGGACTCATTGATACCCTGAAAGAAAGGCCAGCAACACCTAAGGTCATTACCATCAGATACCAGCAGGGGGAGTAAAGCCTTCCAGTTCTCTGGTCTCCCTGACCCTGTGCCACCATGTTTCTTCCCCAAGGGTATGGGCTGTTTTCCAGCTTCCTGCCCAGGATATACCTGTACAGCTTTTTTTTTTTTTTTTCCCCTCTAAAACACAAAACAAAACAAAAAAACCTTTATTTTATTTTAGATTCAGGGGGGTACATGTGCAGTTTTGTTACAGGGTATATTGTGTGATGCTGAGGTTTGGAGTTCTGTTGATCCTTTCACCCAAATAGTGAACACAGTGCCCAACAGGAAGTTTTTCAGCCCTAGCCCCTCCCTCCCAGCTTTTGGAGTCTCCAGTGTCTATTGCTCCCATCTTTATATCCACGTGTACCCAATGTTTAGCTCCCAATAATAAGTGAGAGCATGTGATATTTGGTCTTCTGTTTCTGTGTTCATTTGCTTAGGATAATGGCCTCCAGCTGCATCCACGTTGCTGCAAAGAACAGGATTTCATTCTCTTTTATGACTGTGCAATAGTCCATGGTGTATATGTACCACATTTTCTTTATCCAGTCCACCGCTGATGGGCACCTAGGTTGGTTTCATGTCTTTGCTATGGTGAACAGTGCTGCAATAAACATGAGTGCAAGTGTCTTTTTGGTAGGACAATTTGTTTTCCTTTGGGTATATACCCAGTCATGGGATTGCTTATACAGCCTTTTTTTTTTTTTTTTTGAGATGGAGTCTCGCTCTGTCGCCCAGGCCGGAGTGCAGTGGCACCGTCTCAGCTAACTGCAACCTCTGCCTCCCGGGTTCAAGCAATTCTCCTGCCTCAGCCTCCCGAGTAGCTGGGATTACAGGTGGCCGCCACCACATCCAGCTAATTTTGTATTTTTAGTAGAGGTGGGGTTTCACTGTGTTGGCCAGGCTGGTCTCAAACTCCTGACCTCAAGTGATCTGCCCACCTCGGCCTCCCAAAATGCTAGGATTACAGGCGTAAGACACCGCGCCTGGCCTTCCTATCTGACTGACATGCCACCGGCCATGGCATACAGGTACAACTATGAATTTACACCACACTCCATAGGTGTCCATCACATAGGTGAGAGGCTTCTAGTCAGAGAAAGCCAAGACAAAATAAGAAGCTGCAAATTCTGGGTGGTTCTGCAAATTCTGGGTGGTTCTGTGTTGTTTTTTGTTTGGTTTGTTTTTCCCTTCAAACTTTCTGTTTAAAAACAAAAAACCAAAAGACTCTCCAGATGAGTCTAATATAAACTGAGCCATCTAGTTTACCAGAACCTACCAAACCATGTTTGTGTCTGGGACATACTCAGTGCCTACTGTATCTCTCGTCTAGGTAAATCTCTAGAGAAAAATCCACCCCCAAACTGATTCATCAGGAAAGCTTCCCTCATTAAGACAGCAGCTGTGAATTTCCACCTAGCCCAGTCAGCAACCTACTGAGCTTATCCTGTGTGTTTCAACACTGGGAGAGGGAAAGAACTTAAGGGAAGAAAGGCAATTGAATTTCAACCTCGCTAAAAGAAACTGAATCTCAAAGGCACTGCCTCCCAAAAAAACAGAACTTCTGTTTCCTAGGATCTGCCCAGGACAGTTTGGGTAGTCACCACTGATTTGTTTATGAGGACCTAAACAGGAAAAAGAACGCACATCTACGGGAACAGGGTTTGGGTGCTTACCCGCTCCTGATTTATATCTGCCAAGAAGATGCTGTGGTTGCGATATACATCCTCTTTTATGGGGTCATGCCAGTATTCGGCTTGCACGAGGCTGTAGGAAGAAAAAAGAATGAGGTGATCAAGCTGCAGGTCAGTCAGTATGCCTCGGGCACGCTCAGTGCAAAGGCCACCAAGAGACTTTAAAAGGACAAAAGGCCGGCCGGGAGCAGTGGCTCATGCCTGTAATCCCAGCACTTTGGGAGGCTAAGGCAAGTGGATCACGAGGTCAGGAATTCAAGACCAGCCTGACCAAGATGGTGAAACCCCGTCTATACTAAAACTACAAAAATTAGCTGGGCGCGGTGGCAGGGGCCTATAATCCCAGCTACTCAGGAGGCTGAGGCCGGAGAATTGCTTGAACCCCGGCGGCAGAGGTTGCAATGAGCCGAGATCGCGTCACTGCACTTCAGCCTGGGCGACGGAGTGAGACTCCGTCTCAAAAAACAAGGACAAAAGGCCAAAGCCCTCAAGTCCCAGGCCTTACCCTTTAATAGAGAAGACAAGACTTGTACCTATAAAACAGTCTGTCAACAAGACAAGGACTATTCAGCATAGTACAGAAAGTATAAAAGATGCAGGCAAAGGACTCATCAATATTTGCTTCCCCTGTGACACTGGGGTTTGTCGTACTTATCATGCTGATATAGTTTGGCTGTGTCCTCACCCAAATCTCACCTTGAATTGTAACTCCCACAATTCCCATATGTCATGGGAGGTGACTGAATTATAGGGGTGGGTCTTTCCTGTGCTGTTCTCTTGATAGAGAATAAGTCTCATGAGATCTGATGGTTTCAAAGAGGGGAGCTGGGCTGGGTTCCGTGGCTCATGCCTATAATCTCAGCACTCTGAGAGGCCAAGGAGGGCAGATCACCTGAGGTCAGGAGTTTGAGACCAACCTGGCCAACATGAGGAAACCCCGTCTCTACCAAAAATACAAAAAATTAGCCAGGCATGGTGACATGTGCCTGTAATCCCAGCTACTCGGGAGGGTGAGGGAGGGAGAATCGCTTGAACCTGGGAAGCAGAGGTTGCAGTGAGCCAAGATCACGCCATTGCACTCCAGCCTGGGAGACAGAGCGAGATTCCATCTCAAAAAAATAACAAATAAAAAATAAAATTAAGAGGGGAGTTTCCCTGCCCAAGCTCTCTTCTTTTGTCTGCTGTCATGTGAGATGTGCCTTTCACCTTCCGCCATGATTGTGAGGCTTCCCCAGCCACATGAAACTGTAAGTCCACTATAAACCTCTATTTGCCCAGTCTCAGGTATGTCTTTATCAACAGCGTGAAAACAGACTAATACAGTAAATAAGTACCAGCAGAGTGGGGTGCTACTGAAAAGTTACCCAAAAATGTGGAAGCGACTTTGGAACTGGGTACCAGGCAGAGGTTGGCACAGTTTGGAGGCCTCAGAAGAAGACAGGAAAATGTGGGAAAGCTTGGAACTTTCTAGAGACTTGTCAAATGGCTTTGACCAAAAGCCTGATAGTGATATAGACAATAAGGTCCAGGCTGAGGTGGTTTCAGATGGAGATGAGGAACTTGTTGGGAACTGGAGCAAAGGGGACTCTTTATACTTTCTTTCCAATCTCTCTCCACTTTCCCTTCCCTTCCAGCCTCCTCAAAACGGGCACTGTTACCACAAGGCCTCACATGGGGAAATTCAAACAAACTCTATCCCGGGTTGGCAGGGAGAGAAACACAAATTTCTACAACATAAGCTCCCCAGCCAGAGTGGAAGAGCTGCCCAGAGGCAGTGGTCCTGAAAACCCCACTCAGCGGGGCAGGGCGGCGTACAGCCCAACGGAGCCAGCTACGTCAGAGGAGCAGATGAGACTGAAGTGAAAGGAAGCAACAGTCAGACTGACATTCTAGAATGTGTTTATACATGTATTTGAAACCTTTTAAAGGTTTAGAACTCTGAACATTTATAGAATGCAAAAAAAAAAAAAAGTTCTTGAGGAAAATTAGAAGTGTTACTTCAGTGAACACACAAATAATAAGGAAGCAAAACAGTCTTATTGCGGATACGGAGAAAATGTGAGTGGTCTAGATAGAAGATCAAACCAGCCACAACATTCCCTTAAGCCAAAGCCTAATCCAGAGCAACGACCTAACTCTCTTCAATTTAATGAAGGCTGAGAGAGGTGAGGAAGCTGCAGAAAAAAAAAGTGTGAAGCTAGCAGAGGTTGGTTTATAAGGTTCAAGGAAAGAAACCATCTCCATAACGTGAGAGTGCAAGATGGGGCAGCAAGTGCTGATGTAGAAGCTGCAGTAAGTTATCCAGGAGATCTAGCTGAGATACTTAATGAAGGTGGCGACCATGAACAACGAATTTTCAGTGTAGATGAGACAGTCTTATATTGGAAGAAGATGCCATCTAGGACTTTCACAGCTATAGAGAAGAAGTCAATGCCTGGCTTCAAAACGTCAAAGGACCGGCTGACTCTCTTGTGAGTGCCGAATGGAGCTGATGACTTTAAGCTGAAGCCAATGCTTGGTTTTTAAATCCTAGGGCCCTTAAGAACTATGCTAAATGACTATGCCTGTGCTCTATAAATGGAACACAAAGCCTGCATGACAGCAGATCTGTTTACAGTGTGGTTTGCTGACTATTTTAAGCCCACTGTTGAGACCTATTGCTCAGAAAAAAAGATTCCTTTCGAAACATTACCACGCAGCTGGGCATGGTGGCTCACACCTGTAATGCCAGCACTTTGGGAGGCCAAGGTAGGAGGACTGTTTGAGGCCAGGAGTTCAAGACTAGCTTGGGCAACATAGCAAGACCCCACCTCTACGAAAGAAAATTCTTTCTAAAATTAGCCGAGCATGGTGGTGCATGCCTGCAGTCCTAGCTATTCAGGAGGCTGAAGTGGGATGATGGCTTGAGTCCAGAAGGTGGAGGCTGCAGTGAGCTGTGATCACACCACTGCACTCTAATCTGGGCAACAGAGCACAACCCTGTCTCCAAAACTATGTTTTTTAATTTAAAAAAGTTTAAAAACAAACTTAAAAAACAAACAAATATTACAGCTCATTAAAAAGCACCTGGTCACCCAAGAGCTCTGATGGAGATGTACAAAGAGATTAATGTGTCTTCATGCCTGCCATAGCACATCCATTCTACAGCCCATGGATCAAGCAGTAATTTCAACTTTCAAGTCTTATTATTTAAGAAATACATTTACAAGGTTGTAGCTACATAGACAGTGATTCCTTTGATACATCTGGGCAAAGTAAATGGAAGACCTCATGGAAATGATGTATCATTCTAGATGCCATTAAGAACATTAATGGGCTGGGTACCATTCACTTTGGGAGGGTGAGGAGGGAACATCAATGGAGCCCAGGAGTTTGAGACTAGCCTGGGCAACATAAAGAGATCCCATCTCTACAAAAAAATTTAAAAATCAGTGGGGTGTAGTGGCTAACACCTGTAGTACCAGCTGCTCAGGAGGCTGAAGTGTGAGGATCGCTTGAGCCTGGGAGGTTGAGGCTGGGTTGCAGTGAGCTGTAATGGCACCACTGCACTCCAACTTGGGTGACAGAGTGAGACTTTGTCTCAAAAACAAACAAAAATTCATGATTCACAGGAAGAGGTCAAAATATCAATAGTAACAGGAGTTTAAAAGTTGATTCCAACCCTCATGAGTGGCTGAGGGATTCAAGACTTCAATGAAGGAAGTAACTGCAGATGTGGAAATAGCAAGAGAACTAGAATTAGAAGTGGAACCTGACGATGTGACTGAATTGCTGCAATCTCATACAACAGATAAGGAATTGCTTCTTATGGATGAGCAAAAAAGTGGCTTCTTGAGATGGAATCTATTCCTGGTGAAGATGCTATGAACACTGATGAAATGACAACAAAGGATTTAGAATAAATATTACATAAGCTTACATAAAAGCAGTGGCAGGGTGGCCGGGCGCGGTGGCTCAAGCCTGTAATCCCAGCACTTTGGGAGGCCGAGACGGGCGGATCACGAGGTCAGGAGATCAAGACCATCCTGGCG